CTTGCTCACCCCTGCTGCAAGTAAAATGACGGCAGCTCCTTTGATAAATAAACAGTATGATTCCTGCTTGTCATATTTTTACCTCCAAAAACCTCTATCAATACAAATCATTTTGCTGCAGCAACTACAACTTCTACTTCTCACTTGCTAAATATAAAAATGCGTATGTGTCTAGTTTGTCTGCTTTGTGACCCTGTAGAAACATGGATAAGCATAATGGCTGCCTATGTGGATGTACCACAAATAAAAATCTCATTCATAGTCAACAGTGATCAACCACAGATTTTAACATACTTGTAAATATTACATTTAATTTATATCAAACACATCCTGCTTCATACAGCTAAATAATATGCACTGCACCTTTAAACAGCCACTCCAAAGTAACAGGAGACATTATACAGCAGGTCAACCGAGCAGTCAAAACACCCTTTAAACCACCTGCTCAGTAGCAAAGAGCACGGACACAGTCAGTGACCAGCTGGTGAACAGAGCGGTCAGATATTTTCCTCAGGCGACCAGAACAGAGAGCCAGTGTTAGAATTAATTTGCCAGGTGGTCATTAACACAACCCCAAACGAGCAATGAAATGTAACGGCTGGATGTGACTGTGGAACCGGAATCCTCGCTCTGGTCCTTTAAACCTTAAATATTTGATGGTCAGTAGAAATCAATAAGCGTTATCCTGTTTGTCTGTTTGACATTTACCTTAGTTAATACCACCCTAATGGTTTTTTGGCCTAAATTGTGGCTTTCAGCTCTTCATCTGGTGAATTACTGTCTCATTCAAAGTAAAACTGACATTTAAGTGGGGTACGCTGATGGGCGTGGCAACCTACAAATGAAAGAGTTTTATATCTATGCAGTAGTGTACGTCCCCACCTCCCAAATGTGGTTTACACTGACTGGGTGATATCCAAGATGCCAAACTTGAAGCTTGTCCATCAACCAGCAAAGGGTAAAAATAGCTTTGTCCTGTACTTTGCTACAGTCTTGTTCACAACAGCATCTGTTTGTGTCGTCAATGTGAAAAGCAGTGATTTGTCAATGTAGAGGTGACAGATTTTTTTTTTTTTCTGCTGCCCTCAAGTGGTCCATAGAATCGGTGATAATATAAAAATGTACAGAAATACCACAGCTTGGCTCCTGAATGGTTCCCTCATTTCATTATGCTGTTTTTGATTATCTTTTTTCCCTCCTCAAAGCCTTGGACAGATACATTGACTGAATAAATTACAGTGGCTCTGGCAATAAATAGAAAGGCTAGTATACAGAGTGCACTTGTCAGTGAGTCATTTTGCGTCAGAAAAACAGTGTTTTCATGAATAAAACACTGTTGAATCTCTTCAGTAAACTACAGAGCTTTGCTCAGGAAGACAAAAATCCACTCTGTGTTCCTTTCAGGAAAGTAGCAGCCATTCAAATGTCGATAAATGCCCCTCTGTGGGAGTCTGAGCGTTCCCCTCCTACTGCAGTGTGGTGCTGTGTGCGCTGTCTGTGGTGCTGAACGGCACGGCGCTTAAGACTGAGCGCCACTTTTCCACCTCCACACATGGACGTCTCAACTGCGATCCCGCGCGTGCCGTGCCCCTCTACTTATAATCCACAAGAGGGTGGCGATCACAGTGGGTGGTGGCGTTACACTGATGGCTATAGGTGCCTCATGGCGGCCATCGATCCCTTAACCAGACACACACACTCACACACAGCCCTGAATTTTCTCAGGACGTGAAGTGACTGCTGAAATACCCCAGAACTCACACTCACACACAGCAGTCTATTCCTACAACTTACGCAGAGCTCAGCGTTAGCCTACTCACTTTCTTCCCTTCTCGCACACGCACACACAAGACAACACATTTGCAGACCAACAAAACGCGCACATTTACACACACACACAAGATTAGTATGCGTCGGACGCAACAACCAAGCCTGACAGCTTTGTGTGTAACGATGCAACCTTTCTCATGTATTTAACACCATAATTATAAACAGCAATTACACGTGCAGCTTTTATCCGTGGAGCAGATTCCCACCTACTTTCTGTGATTGTCAGAGTGTGAGCTATCCTTCAAGCCATTTGCACTCTGGATTTTATGTTGGTAGAGCTTAAGGTAACCCCAGACACAATGATTGCCATCTTAATCAAAATCAGCACCTTCAATTTGGCAGAAAATCTAGTTTAAGGCGAATTAAGACCAAAAGAGCCGCCACATTTAGACAAAAAACATAATTATAAACTACAAACACCTCAGTTTTTCCACGAGGAATAATCAAAATCCAGAGGTCCAACGTGGAACAGAAATTGTGTTTTTTTTTCTTACCTTCAGAGACGAACAAGTATCCATTGTGTTCCTCCGCAGGCGCTACACAAATTCGGTTTCCCTGGTTCGAGGCTACAGCCGCTCCCTTTCCATTCATGCACTAATTCCGGGAGACAAACTGCACGAGCAGCAACCGCATATCGCTTCTTCCCCTCGCACTTCCCTGCTTGAGATTTTTTTTCCACCAGCTGATGCTGAGGTGAAACCTGCGCTTCTGCCGGGAGCCAAGCTGCGACGAAAGGCTTCAGAGCACATTTGTAGTTTCCCCTTCAAGTAAAAATAACCAGCCCGCTGCTGTGTGGGCTTCTCTCTGGATTTCAGTCCAGGCGGGTTTTGAGAGAGTGTTGCTACATGGCACAGGCGTTCCTCTCTTCTCCCCTGTGGTGCTGTAGAGTTTTTGTCAGTGGAAACACAGTATGTCCTTGAAATCGTGAAAACAAAAAACATACAAAAAGGCGGGAGGTTAGATCCAAAATAAACTTTTCTGCGTGTTTTAATTATTCAGGAGTTATTTGTTTGTCCGGGTCCGAGAGGATGGAGAGGTGCGACCATGAGGTGTGAATCTCTGCGCTTGAAAAGACTGCAATGAAGCGGCGGACAACCCTAGATGGCACAAACACCATGAAGTATCAGTGAGTCTAACGGGAGGAAAGGCAAGGGGGGAGGGGGGGCAGTGGCAGACAGGTCAGCCACAACTACAACAAATTTACGCAAACACACACCAGATCGAGACTGTGGCGATAATTACGCCTAAGAGCCAATTTGGCACCGTCCGCAGTGAGCACCGTGTTTGTCTGCAGGAGATTAAGGAGCGACCACGGCTTAGTGTGTGCTTAGAGGTGTTTAGCGTCCACAGCGGCAAAGCAGCCTATCAGGGCTGTGGGTAACCTCGGTGTTACAGTGTGTGTCACTGTCGGAAAGAATGGAAGTTATCGTGTGCTCAGCGCTGTTTTTTGGGGGTGCAGAAGGCTTCATACAAGCTGCATCCTGTTTGACCTTCAAACATCAGAGGAGCTCACTTCTGTGTTAAAACACTGAAACAGTGAGGGACACAACTGTGTGAATGATGAGGGAAGAGGATTTCTTTGTGAAGAGTTAACGATCGGCTCCGCTTTAATTAATTTTGGGACCAGGGGAAACATTTATCGAGCATTTACCATTTCAGAACTTCATGTTCCTCAATGGTAAAATTGAACGTTTAATAAAAACACACGTGAAAAAAAAAGAGGTACAGTTTGGAAGTAAAATGCACCAAAGGTGTGCTCTTTTGCGGAAAACGGTGCACCACAGTGATTTAAATTCTGCTCGTGCCTTTAATAACTTTCTCAACATGATACCATCAATAATGCTGCAAACAAAAACAGACTGAAAAGCTGACAATGATACATAACTCTAATATAAACAAAGCACTTCAGCTATGAAAACAAAAGAATAATTGAAACAAACTCTGGAGTTGTGTGTTGCTCTTTTCATTAGCTTACATAGTGAGCACAACTTTATACACTTTTTATTGGGGTATAATGTCTTATTTATTTATTAATTTCTTTATTTTTATGTATTAACTTTTTTTTTTCTTTTTGAAGGCTGCACAGCTCAAAGTATGGCTCTGTAGTAGAAGTCACCACTTGTGCTTAAATTCAATCCCAGAAACCAATGTCTTAAAACACAGTCTCTCCATCCTCAAATGCAGCTGATATGCAAAGAGAAAACCTAACTAATTGTTTTATGGCCTTAATTATAGCTTTCATGCTTCCTCAGTTCAGCTCCACGTTCATTTAGTGAGTATGCATATGGGCGTGACTAACGATGAGGGGCGTGGCTTTCATAAAAGTGACTTGTCTGTCAGAATTGAGGTGCAGAAGTGCACATCCTCACCTCCCAAGTATGGTTAAGATGGGTTTTGCATCTTTCAAAATATCTAACTTGAAGTTTCAAAATGATAATCAATCAACCACTGAGTGGACAGACCTGGCTTGGCTCCTTTTCTCTGGTCTGTGGTACATGAGTGTCTGTTTGGCTTGTTGATGTGAAAGGCTGCTCTTTGTTAGTGTAGTATTGCCTGTAATTCTAATCACTTAGTAATCACGAAAAGTAAGCATAAAAAAACAATAATCTTGCTCACTAAAGCAGATTGGACAGCCTCCACAGCTGATAAGGTTTAATATGGTGGAATTGTGATTGATGAAGTTTGCATAATTTAGTGTGCATAACAACACACTTTTAAACTTTTACAATTTGATATTCATCTGTAGTGATTATGTTTTTTAATTCGCTGGTGGCTTTGCTGCAAAATCAGACATAACTCTGCAGTAGAAATCACTGCATGGGAATCTACAAATTCAGGGACTGGAGATTTCTCTGGGCAGGAGTGCATTCTTGTGGTCTTCTTTATGTCTATAAGGACATTGCACTTTATCATTCATCTAAACACCTGTGGGAACAAATTTTAAGACTCGTTAAAGCTCCTGTGAGGAACTTTCTGTCTGTGTTGACTTTGGCACCCCCAGTGGACAAAGTAGTAACCCTTTTATCATTGGTGATGCAGTCTCATCCTTGTGAAAGCATTGTTATTACACAAATGTGTCCTCCTGTTGTCTACTTATAATGAATTTTATCCTTTATTGTACATATTTGCTATGGGAAAAAGTATCTTAGGCTGTTTCTTTGTGGTACCTACCCTCTTGCAGCAGTTACAGGCATTAAAAATGAGAAAACTGAGATTGTCAGTCTTGTCAACAATGGTCTCATTTGCTTTTGTGCAGCATTGAGATGCATCACTGTTTATTTCAGTCTGTTTCATGACCGATCACAAACTCCTTACAGGAGCTTTAATTATTTTATTCATAATACATTCACGTATTAGTTGATAGTTTAGGGGTTTAAAGGTTTCTTGTAAGTATTATATTGAACCATACGCTATATTTTTCATCCTTCTGGGAAGACCCCAAAGTAATGAAACAGATCATATTTTAACATGAGTTTAGGATAGCTCTCTAATGAGGGAGATAGTCTGTGTATCCCAGGGGTTTAGCAGTCCAAATGACTGCTGCTCATCAGACAAGTGTCTTCTTCAGAAGTGACTGAAACAAAGTGACTGTCACAATAATTGCAGTGATTTCAGGCATGTAAATTTTAGCTAGTGATGCATCATCAACTTGGCTCTAATCAGCACTGAAGAAATTCTCACACAAATCTTAGTTATTTGTTTGTTTTTTATTTTGTCTTTTTACATCAAGTTAAAATCTTGTGTTTAAAACCACGGAAACATATGCACTGAACCTGCAAGACTTCATTGATATTAAAGTCATAAAAGTTTACTATTGTTATCACAAACAAAGCTTCCTAGGTTTAAAGATTAGACTCTGTTTTGCTTCCACAGATGCCTGAATGAAAGTCTCAAATCAGGCCCATGTGGGTGTAAGCCAGCTGATTATTATGTATGCTTTTCACCATGGAGCAACATCACAGAGGAATAAACAGATGGTATATGATCCTATAGAGTGATCATACCTGGATAAACTGATTCTGTGATACTAAAATAGTCAGATTCACCATTCAGTCATTGTCATAACCAAACTTGCCCATAGAAACCTGATGCATACTGAAGACGGATTGCAGTATGTATATAAAACATAACTGGTGATCATTGTGGTTCCAGTTAGACCCAGTTAAGTGGAGTCTCAGAAACACTGAAGAGAAGTGATCCATTATGCTATTAACAAAAACGGATATCATTAATATACTGTATCTAATCGGTTCTCATACAACGTGAAGAGTAATGAGGTCTTAAGTCAGTTCAATGATGTGATTTCAAATAGATTCAGGGTTTCCAGGGCCTGAAACAAAACATTAACTGGATTAGAGTTGGAATAAAACCGTACTTCTGCTCTATATAGAGTATATGCAGGCACTGTCAGAGGTTCTTCAAAACCACCTGCAGCACTGACTTAGACTCAGCCTAAAAATAACATACAACTAATTAGTAATCAATACTCATTCTACTTGATCATACTGAGGTTTCACCTCTCCAAGATGAATCATTACTTCACAGTAAGTTTCCTCTCGGGTGTTATAGTGTGTCCCTTCAAATAAAGCCCAACATTGCTTTTCAAACATCGATTACATCATCATATTCAGACTATACCCTGAGTAATATTAACATCCATACATCAAATCAACTGACAAAACAAGTACAAATACCAACCTGGTACAAAAACTCCCACTGGATCAGCCCCTCTCCAATATTTATGTTAAAACTCCTCCATTTCTCCAACCACAATCACTCTAAACCTGCAAGAGCGATATGGATACGAAGAACACAAAAGCAGAAATCTCTTCGCTGCATGCAGTTCTTGTACCCCATGCTGAACCAAATGAGTCAGGTTTTATCGTTTGGGATGTTTGTTGATGTTTCAAGGATCTTAAATGCTCCAAACAGAGGTAACACAAACCTTTGCAAGTCAATATAAAAACAGGATTCGTGACCAAGGGATTTGAAAGCCAGCTGGCTGTCTGTAGAGCTGTATGAATGATGAAATATTAAATTATTAACAGCAGGTTCAGAACAAACTTTGAAATGTAATCTGCTTGTCTAACTTTAGAGACAGATTAGCCTTTTATATTAAACTACTTGGGGGCTGCTGTGGCTCAGAGGTTTGATTCCAGGTCTTGCTGAGTCATTACTGAAGGTTGTTTACGTGTTTGCCATCAGTCCAAGAATGGGATGTAGATGGGTGAATGTGATACGTTACGTGAAAGCACTTTTAGTGGTGGGGGAGACGAGAGATAGCAGCATCAAAAACAAAGCAGTGTGCATGTAACATTTAGTTACAGTTGCAGGAAATCTTCCTGACAAGGTTTACACTGGTTTTTAAGCTAAGTTGCAGATATGCATGTAGCTTGTTAGTTAGAGAGTAGGTCAGACGCATGCCCCTGCCAGCACCAATATTTATCAACTCTACTGCATTTAAAGCAAATGGTAAAGTAAGGGTGTTGGTTAGTTTGAACAGACTTCAGAGTTTGAGAAAGTGAATAATTGCATCTCAACAAAAAAAAAAATTGAAGCTCCTGTAAGATTTTCAGTGTGTCAATATTGGCGCCCCCTAGTGGACATGGGAGATTGCCTCCCGTACAATACAATGCAATACAATACAATACAATAACTTTATGGATCATGGATCTCCAAAAGGATATCCGTTTGTCTGGAGTCCACCAGCTTTCCTTTTTTTTTTTTCAATAAAAAGGATGTCAAGTCTGTATCCTAGCAACTGTTTTATGGAGAACATCACACAGAACTTCAGCCGTTGCCTTGGGTTGGAAGTTTATAAGTATTATTATGATGTGACTGAACTCCCTTGGAACCAGGGGGGGAAGTTGGATAAGGTTCTTGCAGGTACTGTACCTGTAGGCTTTGTACAAGAGGAGCACACTCAAGGTTAATGAAGTGCCGCAGTATCATCATCTGCTCCATCCCTCTTTCTCTTGTACATAAAATCATTTTTTTCTCGCAGCTGTCTCTTTAAAAGCTCCCTCCTTCCGCAAAAGGCAGGATGCAGTCACCAGCGCCTAGACAACCAGCGTCCAATCAAAAGTGCACACTGAGCGCTCCCATTTCTCAGAGTTTGTTTGCAGAAGCTCACTCGCAAGCAGTATGATCCTATTGGATTACTACAATGCAGAGTGCAGACGGACGTGCGGCAACAAATGTAGTCTACATACACTGCAGGGGTGAAAGTTTGCGTACTGTTGCGTACCGGCTGTAAACTGCTGTTTATGTCTTCCCGGTATGGCATACCGCTGCGTACCAGCTTACTTTCACCCCTGCTTGCAACACAATATGGCCCAAGAGCAACAGCCATCAAGTCAATATGTCTGGACATCACATCCTGTTTTTGACAGTTTTGTATGAATTACTGAGAATTCAGAGACCAGACTTTGCTGCTACTTGGTTGAGCGCAGGTTCTGGAAAAAAAAAAAAAAACATTTTAGTAGTACCATGTGACTAAAAAATAAATAAATAAATAATAAGTTTTAGGTGGTAAAAGCAACAACATTAAGTTGTCAGTCTTGTTGCCGGTGGTCTACTTTGATTTGTATGTTATCAACAGACATCAATATGAGTGCCTAACTCAGTAAGCTACAAAAAAGTGATTTCGAAATAAACCAAGCTGTGCCAAGGCCTAGTTTTGGGTGATTTTTATTAAAAAACGAAAATTCACAGATGAAATTCAACAATGAAAACTGTTTGATCTGCAGTTAAATTTGTGTGTGATGGCTTAAAAAACAATTTTGCTTTTGCACTGAACACAGCTCGAGAATGACTGAAATCCAAATTAACAAAGTTCATGGTTGTTTGAGTTCACGGTCACAGTTTCTGTCCACAGTCAAAAATTCAACAAGTTCACAGAGAATTAAAAAGAGGTACCTGTGATGTTTCCTTTCTTTGTGTTTAACTAAAATCTTATCTTTACCAACTTCTACTGAAGTTTCCTTACTGCCTAAACTTGAATGTAGAGCTCAGGATGTGAACCCCGGTGTCGAATATCACAGTCCCGATCCAACTTTATCACAACCTCACCACCTCAGAAAGGTGTCTCCACATATATTAGTCAGCTCTCAGTCCATGAAGAAGTCATTCCTAGTAAGCAGTACCTGTGATTTCTGAGGTGTAAAGCAGCTTCAGGAAAAAAAGGGACTATGCTGATGCTAGTTTTCATTGACTTCAGTCAGAGTAAATCCAATATCACGTCTTTAGTATTTGAACATCAGACTGTGCTCTTGGCAGCTGTCTTCTTGTAGCTGTTGAGCTCTCAAAAAGAAGTAAATATCCCTGTCTTTGTCCTCTCCTTTGTTTTCCTGGTGTTGTTATCGATGAAGCCTGTAGGAGACAGGGCTTCTAGGCCTCTTTTTACCCACTGTGCCATTGATCTGTGTTTAGATCCTCTTTTTAAATCCATTTAAAGTAACATTATGAAGGTTAAAAAGTCTCATTATTCCACTTGGTTCAGCTTCTCCTTCAGGGGATATCAATTCACAGAGAAAAAAGTCAGCACTGATCCTAGAGAGAGGATTTTATCAAATATTGTTAAACCAAAATAGCCTCGTTATGCAATATTGCCTAGACGACCACCCTGCACAGTGAGTTTCTTCAGACTGAAAAAAGCTACACAGCAGCTACAAAAATAGTCTAAAGATTATTAAATTAGTCTGAGGACAAACAATGTGTTCAGATTACAGTTAAGAGAAGCAAATCCTGGTAGGAAACACTACACCAAGAACTAGTGGCACCAAGTGGTGCTAGCCAGGGTCTATTTGCAAGAGCAACAACAGGGACTAAGCTGATCACAGTGTCTGTGACAAAGAAACTCTACACATTTATAGGGTTTGTAATTTGGAGTCATGTTGTCAACTACTCGATGGATATTTAAATGTTACTTTGGATAAAACTGAAGATTCGTGGTGATTGGCTGATAGTAGTGTGTCGGTCATGAATGAACGGATCAAAAGAACTAGTTCTTTTTGGTGAACAAAATGAACGAGGTCACCCCCCCTAAAAGATCCGTTCAGTCCGTTCAGTTCTTTTGATTGGCTGAAGAGTCAGTTCACCGTTCCTTAGGGCGGGGCTATATCCGTGCTTGCCTGTCTTATCATATCGTCGCGCCTCGCTCTGTGGGTGGGTGGGGCTTAGAGAAGCAGCAGCAGTACTGAGCTGACTGAAAGACCGGGACCAATGACTGAGTTGACTGAAAGACCAAGTTGACTGAAAGACCTGGACCGATGACCGACTCGGTCTCCGTCTTTTCAGTCAGCTCGGTCTGACTGAGAGATTGACCGACTCTCAGACTGACTGAGTACAAGCGTTCACTCTCTGTGAGGTGCTGTCAGCCTGTCACTAGCCGACTGACTTGTGAACGAAACGGGATGTACTGAATAAAATAAACTATAAGGCAGTCTCTTGCGGGGGGTATCTGTACTCACGAGTACAACAAACAGTGCTGCGGCTGCCGCACGGGCCGACAGCTGAGCCCGAGCGAGCGGGACAGTCACACACACACACACAGCTGCTGCTGCAGCCAGAGGCAGAGACTCACTAGCAGAAGCTTTAGAATGCTAAGCTAACAAACAGCGGTTGATAAGAGTACGGGGGGTTGCATGAGGCAGCCGGATGCGCTTCTCCAGCAAAATATCCCAATGCTGTTCAGTGTCTGTGTACAGACACATCTGTATTCAGCCACCATTTGAATTAGTACCAATGCGTAATGTGCTAGTCTAGCTCAACATGCCGGTGTTTCGGTGTAAAAAGTGACCCTGTTACCTGGAGACTTTAGAAAAAATGCGCATGAGATTGTCCCAGGTTGCACAGCTGTTGAATATGTATCCTTAGATCTCTCTGTGTTTTGAATGTCAGCAAAGACGTATCTGTTGGAAATACTTGATGTTATTGTCACAAAGGGAGCTAAGAGGCTCTCGTTCGTTCAGAGTCTGAACAGATCTCCACCTGCATAAACCCGTATCAAGGGTCAATCATAGAAATCATGAACCGCCTAATAACTTTTAAAAACGGAGCTGTACAGAAAAAAGAGGACTTGAGCACAAACTAGTCTTACAGTAACTACATGTCAACATTGCAACCAGGAGGGAGAAAAAATTATATTTTGTGTTATTAATTTTTAAAGTTTGTCCACAGCTCCATGGGGATTGCTGGAGTAGGTGAGATTTATACTGCAGCCGTCACTAGAGGGTGCTCTTCTTAGGGTGGCGTCACCCAGCAAGGAGGCAGACAGCATCCATTCTATATACAGTCTATATTCATTAATGTTGCTTTAATTGCACCTTTACAAATCATTTATTTATTTTACATGTAACTCAATTACAGAATAGTGTGATGGCATAAATGTATTCCTCTGATGTGATGTACTGAAGAAAAAAGGTATCCTGGTATAATCAAGTTTTAACTAGTGGGGACCAGAAGCTGTTGCCTATTGACAGATGGTGCATCAGACAAACAGTGTGCAAAGGGGCTGCTGAAACAGATCTAAACCTGCAGTTCCTCACTAGTGCTTTAAACCCTGTGTGTAGAATCTTACACAAAACTAAACCTCAAAGCTGATCAAACTACATATTGTGTTGTGTCTGCAACAGGTGAAAATACACATAGGGCCTGATCTACTAAGATCCCAAATAGCATCGCTAAATTGCATGTGCAAACTGAAAAATTGCACCTGCTATTAGTGGGCGTGTTGCGGGTGATCTACTATCATTGCATGGACAAGTGATAGTGGGAGCAAAAGTGGTTCGCCCTCTTTAAACCAGGATTTTGCGCACTCTATCGGCTGTCACCATGGGCAGTTTGTGAGAGCAGAGTTTGAAACCATGGAGTTGTACATATCGTTTTAGGGAACTGCATAAAAGGCAAGGCAAGTTTATTTGTATTGCACAATTCATACACAAGGCAATTCAAAGTGCTTTACAGATACAAGAACATATACTAGAAATCAAAACAGGGATTAAAACAATTTAAAATGATAACACAAACAGATAAATTTTTTCGTCCGTTTCGTGTTTGCCCTTATTTATGAAAATTGTCATTTACCAGAAATACGAAATAAATCACAAGCTTTGGACAAAGATCATGGCATGTATCATGGCACTTCTGCATCCTTCTCTCCACAATGACGGTGCGCAATGCTGCTCCAGTTTGCACGTGCCTTTCAAACGTGTTAAATATAGATGCGAAACAGCGACCGCAATCGGCTTCTGGGTTTGATCACACTGTGGTTGCGCATTTGACAGGCGCAATCCTCGGTGCAGATCAGGTTTGCATGCTCTTTCAAGTTTGCACATGTTTTTACACACACAGACCTTTAGTGGATCAGGCCCATTTTGGCCAAGATGGCGGCGTGCACCTAGCAGCGGCTTACACCTCTCCCTTTCAGCGCTCATTTTTGTCTATCTTTGTTTGTTTGTGTGCTTTAAGTACATTTGCCTCGGCAAACCACTGCTCAGCAAACTACTGCTACACCCGCCAGGATCTTGTAGATATAGGATACCGACAAAAAACAACAGTTTCAAGGGACTTTCAATCCATCCACAACATCCCAGACAAACTAACCACCGGATGCTCCGTGGATTGTTGTCAGGCCTGGCAAGCGGCGAAGGCAGAGAAGGAAGAGGAGGCAGAAGTGAGGCTGCAGAGCCGGCCTCCGGCTGAAGCTAAGGAACAACCCACAGAAACCACCTCTGCCGAGCCTGTACCTCACCAACGCCAGATCCATCACATATAAAATGGACGACCTGAAACTACAGCTCGCAGGAATTCGCACGGTTCGGGACTGTTGTGTTCACATTATTACGGAGAGTTGGCTGAATTCGAGAATCCCTGGCCCTGGCATGCAGTTAGTGGGCCGCTCCCTGCACTGCTGCAATCGGACTGAGAAGTCAGGTAAAAGCAGAGGTGGTGGGCTCTGTATCTACATCCATGAGGACTGGTGTAACAACAGTGTGGTTATAGAGACTGTGGATAAACGCATCCGGATGTATCCCAACAGTAAACCATGGATGACCGGCCAGGTCCGTTCCCTCCTCAAGGCCCGTGACGCTGCCTTCAGGTCAGGTGACAGGGCTCTCCACAGTGCGGCTCCAGCTGACCTGAGGAGAGGTGTTAAAAATGCCAAAGAGGACTACAACAAGAAGATAGAGTCCCACCTCACCAGCAACAGACCACGGGAGATGTGGAAGGGTCCTCAAAGCATCACCAACTACAGAGGCTGTGATGCTTCACCAGGAGACCTGAGTGCGGCACTAGCAGAGGAACTCTTTGCCCGCTTTGACTCAACGCAGCACCACTCCTCTGCTCCAGCCCAGCCATCACCCTTGTCAGGATCCACCACCCCAGCGCTCACCACCCCAGTGTTCACCACAGAGGAGCATGATGTGAGGCGTGTGCTACTGGCAGTAAACCCCAGGAAGGCTGCTGACCCAGACAAAGTGCCAGGCAAGGTGCTCAGAGCATGTGCACACCAGCTGTCATGTGTTTTCTGCAAGATTTTCAACCTCTCCCTGGCCCAAGCAGCCATCCCCACCAGCCTGAAGACTGCCAAAATAAACCCAGTGCCAAAGAAGTCACCTACAACCAGCCCAAATGACTACCGCCCTGTTGCCCTCACACCTATAATCATGAAGTGCTTTGACAGGCTGGTTCTCATGCACATCAAGGACTGTCTCCCCCCGACACTAAACCCCCACCAGTTTGCTTACCGCGCTAACAGATCAACAGAGGACGCCATCGCCATAGCTCTGCACGCTGTGCTGAGACACCTGGAACAACAGCAGAGCTATGCCAGGATGCTCTTTGTGGATTATAGTTCGGCATTCAACACCATCATTCTGGACATCCTCATCACCAAACTGGTCACCCTGGGCCTCCCCCCTCCCACCTGCTCGTGAATTAAGGACTTTCTGACCAACAGACCCCAGACGGTGAGACTTGGCCCCCACCTCTCCCCCACCCGCACGCTGAGCACCGGGTCACCCCGGGGCTGTGTGCCGAGCCCCCTCCTGTACTGCCTCTACACCTCCAACTGCAGCCCAAGCCACGAAAACAACCTTATCGTCGCAGATGACACTACCGTGGTTGGACTGATTTCAAGAGGAGATGAGTCAGCTTACAGAGAGGAGGTGCAGAGACTCTCGACCTGGTGCTCAGACAACAACCTGACACTGAACACTGCCAAAACGAAGGAGATCATTGTGGATTTCAGGAGGAACAGAACTGAGCCGCCCCCCCTCTCCATCAATGGCGAGTATGTGGAAAGAGTCCACACATTCAGGTTCCTGGGAGTCCAGATCTCCGATGACCTCTCCTGGACACACAACATCATGGCTGTCATCAAGAAGGCTCAGCAGCGTCTACACCACCTGAGAGTCGTCAGGAGGAACAACTTGGACAGTAAGCTGCTGCTGGCCTTCTACCGCTCTGCCATCGAGAGCTTGCTGACGTACTGCATCTCCACCTGGTACAGGAGCGGCACTTAGGCTGACAGAACAAGGCTTCAGAGAACAGTCAGAGCAGCACAGAGGATTGTTGGCTGTTCTCTCCCGTCCATGATGGACATCTACACCTCCTGGTGTCTCAGCAGAGCCTGTAACATCACTCCAGACACTTCACATCCTGGTTCTCAGCTGTTTGAGCTGTTGCCCTCTGGCAGGCACTACAGATGTCTGAAAGCAAGAACGAATAGTCTGAGAAATAGCTTTTTCCCCATAGCCATCACCACCCTGTACTGCTCCACTGTGTGGAATCCATCACACTCTGTGCAATCTATTTAATATTCAGTATTAACATGCCAACACTACTGTATTTATCTTTACATGTATATATATATATATATATATATATATATATATATATATATATATATAGCCATACCTACTGTGCAATAGGTTTTTTTTACCATTGCTGCTACTGTCCACTGTGTGGAATACATCACACCCATGCAATCTATTTAACAACAATGTGTCAACACTCTATTGCATCTTATTTGTATGTATATTTATATTTTAAACCTTTACTTTTACTTTTTACTTGCACTGAATGGGAGACCCTCTCCTATCTCGTTGTACAATGTTTGTATAATGACAATAAAGAGCATTCTATTCTATTTTATTCTTTCTGATCGCAAAGTGCAAAGAAATTTCAAATTGAAGCATGCACTTACACTTTGATCAGTCTTGCAAAATTAACTAAATTATGTGGCAGAGTCAGCCCGTCTTTATAAAAATGTAGCCTACCCTGCAGTTTCTTAGTAAAGGGGCAGAACTGACCAGCATCCTCTGGGACTTGTAACTTATACAACCCTACTTAAAACTGACTGGCATATCCCTTTAAAGTTTCAGATAAAAATTATTACTGGGTTAGGGAAATGTCTACAGCGACACAGTTTGCATCATTTGTATGAGCAGTAAAGGCTAAATTTCAGATCTTAATGGTGTTTTATTAGTCTGGTAAAAATGGCTAATACAACATAAATCCTACTTTTATTTCCCTCTGTTATGCAGCTGTTGTAACTCTCATCGACAACCTTTGAGCTTCTGAGAAATCATCATAATAAAGGTTCCAAACAAGGCTTTTAGTTACTGTTAAATTACAGTGAAAGTGCTGTAAAAAGGCTGTAATCGTCCCTGTGTAAATGGACCAAAGACATTTCATTAACTTTAAGCACATGCTCATTACCAAAGTGGCAAAATACAATTTGAGTAGACACATAATTGATCAAAATGAATAGGGATGAGAGGTGGAGAAAAAAAAAAAAAGAGGTGTGAAAACAAGCCACAACAAAAGGAGACACAAAATAAACGGCCTCGTACGCTCAAGAGCAAATGTGACCAAACCATGACAACAAAGGCAAGGACAAAGGCAAAGATGAGAAGGGTAATGAGATAAAGAAATGCAGTATCAGTAAGTGGGCAGCAGACAGCAATGATTTTTACGGTTTTCAGCAGGCTGAGTAGGAAACAAATGCAGGCAGGCTGCAGAAGCTGAACAGCAGAGATGGAAGTAGTTCAGAGAAACGAAGGCACTTTGATACACTCTTCAAAGCTCTCTTTGACCTTAAAAACTTGGTCTTTGTGTACGCTTCAAGTCAAATTACTGTCAAGGCAGCTTACTGGAGAATAAACAACAGTGCAACATCACCACCACTTCGAAAACACAAAGGATAAAGCTGGAATATAGGGAATGTTGATCAATGCTGAGGAACACTCTGCAATGACCAAAGCCAATAAACTAATCCTATTCAAGAGAAAAAATATCCATGCACCAAGAAACTCATTATATCAGACATCTAAGAGCTGTTTTATTGTAAAAACCAATCAATGAGCCTCAGAGGCTGACATTTTCCTTCATTACCAACAAATCTGGCTATGTAGTTTGAAATGACTTCATCCCATCGTCCTGCTGCTGCTGATGCTATTCACTATTTACATCATCACCCCAAATAATGGAGGGAATATCACCTAATTTGCTGCAAGAAATTGTTAAACAGGTCCAACATGAGTTTGTGCTCATCGTTTGAAATGTTCAACACTCAGTTAAGCAGAAACTATGGTTTTAACAGCTGCTTTTACCCTCCAACATCACCATCTGCAGCATACAAGAAGTCAAAAAGTATAAATAATCATTTTGTGCAGTTAACTTCTGGAGTACTTTTAGTTTTGCAATGTGTTGGATTGCAAATGTGTAACCAATCTGAGTGCAAAGGAAGCAAACTTTAACTACTCACTACTCAAACAGAAACTAAAATGTAGCAGGATGCACTGCTCTGTCTGGTAAATTAATTTCACAAATCAGTGTGAACTACAGTTGCTCTGGCTCACTTTTAGGTTGCTTTTTGACCATGAGCACCCAGAACTTTTAGTTCCAGGGACTTCTCTTTAAGGAAATGAGTGAGTCCTGTGGTCCACTGTTGTCTGCATTTCTATAGGTTCAGGGTAAATTATGTAAATCGGGCCAAGGACATCCAGGGATGGTATTTGGAAATATACTCACTGCATGCCTCTTTATTGGAGTCTGAAAAAGTTGTCAGAAATCCCGTTGGCAGCAGGTAAGCTGTATTTTATTGTTTAATTACATCAGGTTAGGGGAAATATTAGCCTTTGTACTGTTGCCCTTTGGTGCCTCTGCTTGTTTAACTTTCTTGCTGCTCAGCCAGGGTCTTTATGTAAGTTGTAAACCTGCTTATAATGTAACACTTGTTTCCTGTTAGACTAACCCCTTAACCTGTTAAAAACATCCAAACGCATCCCTGAGATGGGAAAAAAATGTACGTAAACAGGGTCGAAATTTATGTTTATGCTCAGCTTTACTCTTCAGATAGCATTATGTTATGTACGATCTACTCTGAGGCCTCTCTCCTCTTCTCTGTGCACCTGTGCTGTCAGTATTTCACATGTAACTGTAATAACCAGTTTTTTTTTTTTTTTTTTAATTGTAAAAAAAAAAAAAGAATCTGCAGTCCCTCCCTCTCTCAGTACTACCATCTGAGCAGGGGGCTTTTCAGGGGTAAATCTTCTACCCCAGAACTAAATTTAGACCCTGGTTCATGAAGTCAAAGTGCAAAGAGTTCCTGGATAAGGTCCCTGGTTCTGGGATAACGTTCCTGTTGTCAACAAACACCTGAAGTGTGAGCATGCACAAGACTGCTGTTTGCAAGATAAGTGCAGTAGTTTAAGGAAAATTATGTTGATTCATAACCTGTTTGATTGAAACCAAGAAGTGAAACCTGTTAAAACTAAAGGAACTAGGCAGTGAAACTCAGACGCTGTGGCATAAACCAGCGATATCAGGGAAAAGTCGCCAAATCTGCAATGCTTGGAGTTCTATACCTCATTAATACAGACTTAAAAACTACAATAATAGTCTTTGAAAAGCATCAAATATCATGCAGTCATTCAACAGACCAGGAACAGTTGGCACTTAACATAGCATCCTCTGCCTTCAGTGTATGAAAGTGGGGTGGATGGGTGGATGTGACATGCAGTGTAAAAGCATTCTGAATGGTCAGGAGGAGACTAGAAGTGCTATATAAGTACAGTCCATTTACCATCTCTGTCCTTGACGGTAGTTTGAGAGTGTTTCGTCCTTAACCTTGAAAACATTTCACCACAAGCTCCCCTCAGTACTGTTCGTGGAGCTTTTTTTTAAGTGGTTTTGAGCCATTTTGCCCTTGATTGGATATGACAGCTGTAAAGAACGGGAAATGTGAGAGGAAGAGGGAGGAAGATGACATGCAGCCAAGAGGTGAGGCCAGTGACTTTACTCACAAAGATTCACTGTCTTAAGAGCTGACCCTATATTCATAAAAAATCCAAGAAAATTCACAGGGATCATGAGTTTTTTGTAAGGAATTTTCCATTTAAGTTGAGACTAAATGTTTGTTGTGATGAAATTATCGGCAACGAGTTTGGCGTTGAGAGAGATGACAGGAACCGAGGAAGAAGTAGCAGAAAGACAGTGAAATAAGAGGAATGCACTTCAAACAGTGATAGTCAGTGAGTTCATATGATATCTGTGAGCTCTCACAAGCCAATGCAAGAACACTTAAATGAAAGTATTTTGTTATTGCAAAAAGAAAACATTTAATTCGTGATTTTGTTCTCATGACAGGTGAGTTCCACGAAAGGGGTGAAATGAAACTGAAAGAGCGTATACAGCAATGTGTAAAGGTTCACTCTGCATTAGTGCATCTTAGGAGACAGAAAAACTGACATCTTTATCTGACATCTCTGAAGGGGGGCAGAGTGAAGCCACGGCAGATCACCCACTAGTTTATGGATGTGAGATGTTGACCATATACAGTGTAAATGGTCATCCTGCTTCGGTACATTAGACCAGCAGTGGGTGACAACCCTCAGCATAAAAAGATGTTCTGGCATTTATTCTCAAACACTTTGAAAGCTTTACACTGTTAAAGAATAGCTTGCAACTTATTATAAAAATAATTATTATTATTACATCCAAAACTTGAAAATATTAGCTCAGGCTAATCAATTTCTAAACTGGTGCTGTGGCAGTGTTGCACAAACACTTTCAAACCTTCAATTTCCTCTCTTATTTGCAAGTGTATATGTTTTTTAATATGTTTTTTTTTTCCAGTTTGGTTAAAACAGTCTTACTTTGATTGTATTATGAATGCAAACATTTAAAAAAATAACTGATAGACAGTTTTTTGCCCCCACAGTTCCTTATTTCACCATGCAAACATGCAGTTTAACTTCTATGTCTTCTTCTTTTGCAGCTGTGCTCTGAGTAACTTGTCAGTTCAGTAATGCACAAGCAGTCAAGGGATATAAAGACACTGACCTTTACCTCTCCTGAACTTTAGGGGTTTTGTTCTGGAGTAGAATAGCAAAGAGCTATGTAACCTCTCCATTCACTTTCTAAGAGTTACTTCTTAGCTGAAATGTTTGGTATGCATATTTGTTTCTGAGCTCTCTTTAGCCAACTGTGTTGGCAATCAAAAGTTAAAGCACCTTCAATCTCAAAAATGGAGACAGTGTACCATGACAGACCTCATGCTCCATGCCTTTAAGATGACCCTACAGTGATGCCCTGGTCCTCTGTTACTGTGATGTAATCCGTCAAAGGTGAGTTCACTTTGTCTCTCCGTTTCTATTGATCCATCCTCCTCAGCTCACAGTCCATTGGCTATCAGGGTGTCAGTGACCTGCTGACACATTGGCCTCAGTGTGAGAGATGTAACCTAATAAAGCACTTAACAGCATGGGTA